GTTAGAGCTGTGTGTTTATGAAAAACATGCTGCCTTTGAGAGACTGGATGAAAATTGATCCCTCAACAAATGGAGGGAGTTAAGATCCAAGAAGCATAAAGTAAAGCCAGTCTTTATAACATGGCAGAATGCAGGTTTCACACAGGTAAAACTGGTCAATGAATACAATAAAGGGCTGGCCTAAAAACAATGCATGGCTAAGAGTCTCTGATTTGTAAATAAACTCAACATTTTCAACAATCGCTTTAACGCCACCGATGTTACAGGATCATTTTTTTCCTGTCTGTGCAAAGGTGACCAAATACCAACCTATTCAGATGTCTGTGGCTCTGGCTTTGACGGTTTGGGTGAACATGCTTTAAAGTGTGTTCTGCTCAGCTCAACATGGTCTCCACCGTTCTGCTCTTCAAATTTGGTCAAACATCTGCACTGCATCAAATCACTCTGGTTTTAGGGCTTTGAATGACTTCCTACCACTTACACTCTGACAGGGGAAACGATTTACTGAGGCCATGCATGCCGCAGAAAGCTGCCGTCGGCGGGTTCTTATGGCTGCAAGGGCCCCCCGCCCCGTGAGGCGGTTCCCTACAGCGCTGCCTTTAAATGTCTAAAACTGTATGGAGAGAACAATTACTAAGCATTTTACACTGGGCCCTGTAAGAGTTATTGGACACAACTCTGACTCTCATAGACATGGTGGCGGTTTATCTAAAGCAGAAGACTGCGTCTGCTCGACTAATATTCAATGACCGGACCTCTGACTTCAATAGATGAGTTGTTGGGAAAGCTGTCCACTGATTCAGAGACTCTTTGATGGCCTGACCCAAAAGACGTCACATGAATGGAGCAGTGTCTGTTGAAATCATGGTTCATGCTTGTGCACTACATGGGGGATAGCAATGTTGAACTCTTTCAGTGCCATGACGATAAAGCTGCGGTGGGTTTTCTCTCAATAACGTCAATTGTGGCTATGTGGCTCAAGTACCTACGGTTGAACAGTGATTGAAGCAACATTTCCTGTTTATCAATGTTGAAAAGACCAAAGAGCTTTTTGAAGGTCAACCGATTCCCATTCAGTCCTGGTCTATTTCTGACCTTTCTGTTCAGGATCTTCAAGTTCTTGGTAGGCACATGGATGAGAGGCTCACTTTTTCATTGAATGTGGATGAGATTAAGAAGAAAGTAAAACAGACACTTGTTCAGGAAGCTCTGAGGTTTTAGAGTGAGCTCTTATTAAAACATTTTCATGTTTGCAACATCAGTGAGTGGGTTGGGTACCCCACAGTGATCCGTCTATCTATCCATTAGATGCATCAGTGTCTAGTTCATATGAAGCAGTGATGAAACATACTGGATTCCAGAATGACTGTGATAGAAATGAGATGACTTGAATTTACCGGTTTCAGGCGCTGCAGGCGGAGCATCTTTTGACGCGGCAGCAGGTGAATCGGCTTCATCTGCATTATCTGACAGAAAACAGTGAAGGAGAACGTGTCAGTCGAGAAATAACTGGAAACGCTTAAGACGTAAAAAATCCTGATCAGCAGGTTTTGTCCGGAAAGCCAGATTTAGCATGGACCGGTTCTAGCTTGGAGCATACCGGCTATTTTAGGAGCAACTTAAACATTTCACGCAGTAACCAACTCATCCTGCTGACCAAGAAACTGTTTCTTTCCAGGATGGAGCAGCTCCTCTACCAACACATTCTCCCATACAGAAAGTACCTGTATTCCTCTCCATGGTTTTACATGCATGCTTGGTATGAGGGATTGCTGCAAGACAGTGCTTTAATGCACATGCAGGGGGAGTATATTGCACAAGTCAGTGACTTGATGCAATCTGCTCGGTTTCCTCAGATAGAAAACTTTTAACCAGTCTATCTGTATGGTATGGATGAGTCGACTTTGTGCAGTGTTGTGAATTGCTGCAGAATTTAAAAGAGTTTCTAACAGCTCAGATCAGCAGAGTGGTTGTCAGGAAGCCAGGGCAGCGTTTGTGGCTTCTTACTTCTTCCAGTAGCATCGCAGGAAGCGGTCGGACCCGGAAACCGACAGTGACAGATTGTTCTGTTGATCTCACGAAGCTCCTCCCCTCTGAGCTTGATAGAACAATTAACCTTGCCATTGGGTTATTGCAATTTAGCTGCAGGTCCAATCAGTGATGCTGTCCGAATGTGTCTCTTCTCTATCCACTAATATCTCTGTGTCTGCCATGTGTCACATGTTTCTTTAATGTCTGTCTCTATATGTCCTAATATCCCCTCCTGCCTCATGTACGTAACCCACATGTGTGTCTTGTTGTGTCCACATACCCAGCTCTTGATTGCAGCTCTCCATGATCCGGTAACAGTGCATTTTGCTGAAGTTCCTGGAGTCGAGGCAGACAATGGAGGGATGCAGCAACATGTTGCGCAGACGTCCCAGGTTGCATTCTGGAGAGACCAGGCGGTAACACGCCGCATGGCACTGCAGGTGACACAGCAACTCGTTAACCAAATGCACACACAGAGGACAGGATTAACTGAGACCTGTTCTAATACAGAAACAACATAGAAAAGATGCAAAGTCAAGAAGCTGTGGACTTAAAGCTCCAGGTTCTGAACTTAGACCCTCAGTAGACCTGCAGAGATATGATTCTCACCGTAATCCCGCACCACTCACACCTCATCCCCGACAGGGCTTCGGACGAGCCACAGGAACGGCGACAAACTTCACACTTCGCCGCCGATGCCTGGTTCCCCTCCCTCCAGTGGTGGTGGAACATGTTCTGTTGAGGGTGGAAAAACAGAACCTGTTTAGGGCTTAAATTGCCGGACAGCAAAGAATAAAAGGAGAACTTTAAGTGAAATGAATGTGGTGGCCATGTTGAAAGATGGTTTGTCACTGGTTGCCATGGCAAGCTTTTTCAGGGCAGACTGCAGCTATTCGCTTCATGAGAACTACAGGAAGGATCTGAATGCGGTTGATACAGGTGCTTTAGAACGTTCTCAAGTCCACATGCATGGTTTTATATTATAAAGGAGATCCAACGTCTTAAACAGAACCAATAGGTCCAGGCAGTATTCTTTTTCCGAAAATCGAAAATGTGATCATTTTTAACCAAAATTGTGATTTTATTTCTATTTTCCTTTGTACTAACCCCAAGTTTGTATATCATTTTTGAAGATGTTTCGCCCCAGGCTTTCAGTCCAGGGCTGGAGGGAGAGATTTAGTTTCTTACTCTTTTTAAATATAGTGTGATTAAAAATCGGGGCTTCTGCTATTGAAAATTGTGTTTTGTTAAATTGCAACTATATTGCAAACGCTATTAATTGCCCAGCCCTAATAGGGAGTGAATAAGAATGTCTCCCACCAGAAGGAGACACGCCTGAAGGTTCTAAATATTTAACCGGGTCAAAACCACTCTAACCTCCTACATGAACATTGAGGGGAAAAAAAATAATGAAATTATATATATATATATAAATAAGGGAGAAAATACTTTCTGAATCAGAGGTAAAACGGTTCTATTGAAGAGATTGTTGAGAATGACTTCTTTTTTTTAATTCACTGATGTTAACAATATTTTTCATGAAGAACTAAACTAAAAACCTGTCTCCACAGCCTTCGTCACTTATTGATGGACTTCAAGCAGATCTGACCCCATCTGTGACGGTTCAGCTGCTGGTTTCCTGCCAGTCATAAAGCTGCTGAACTGGTTTTCAGTCCAACCCACATGATCCACTGCGGGCTGCTGATTCTAATCCATGAGAGCCGGTCCATCCGAGGCACCGATCAATCCGGAACTCAATCTGACATCTGATTCTGTTGCAGGATGTAATCTGTAGACTAACAGGAGACTCTCACCAAACCACAAGACATCTAAAACCTGAGAGATACTTTATTTAGATGGAAGTTTCTGATGACTCCTGTCTGTCTTCTCCTGAACAAACCAGTTGCCTGCTCCAGTTCAAGAGCGTTTTTACAAGAGATGGAAGAACAAATAGCCTGGTTTACCTGCTGCAGGTTCCTGTCCAGGTGACAGCAGCGACAGTCGGCACAGCTGAAGGAAGCACAGTCAGCGTGGACGTGCAGCTCGCACACTGAAACACAGGAGACAGCTTCTCAATCAGAAAGGACAAACAGAGCCTGAAAACAAAGGTCTGAGAAATAAAAATTAAACATTTCTGGTTTCATTTCTCAGATAGTCTTGAAATATTCTTATTTAACTCTTATTTATTGAACATTTCTTTCTAGCAGCATGATGTGTATTTTGGAGGTTTTTACATATCTGCTGGGCCCCGTTTCAGAAAGTGGGATAGGTTAGGAGTCACAATAAATTTGAGATAAATCCCTCCATAACCAGGATTTGGGTTTCAGAAAGCTGGACATCTGTTATCCTGAGACAAGATAAACCCCAAGTCACTCCTTTAAACAAGTCTGGTTGCTGGCAGAATTTCCTGAAGATATCCTCAGTCTGTTGCACATTTCAGCTGAGATCAGACATGAGAATAGAGTCAGAAATGGTTTGTCTTTTACCGCAGGAGCCTGTAGATGTTGAAAAGCAAATGCTCAGTATGCTCCGCATGATTCAATGCATTTTTAATGTGGATTCATAAATGTTAAAGCACAGATCCTTTTCTCCAGAGTCAGTAATTATCTCAGTAATATGTCAGCCAAATATCCCTTATATGACATAACAAGGTCTTTGTGCTGCACTTTGCTCTTATGCTGTTCAAATGTCAGCATTAAACTGTTAGCATACAGCTCAGATGCCCATCAGCTCGATCACAACTTCTGCAAAGTCTCGTCCTGCTGTTTCACATCCAGCGGGAAGCTGCCATGAAATCTTTTTTCTCTTTATACATTGAATGGTTTAGTTTTTGTTCAATTATATTATGCAACTGAGCTTTGGTGTAAGAAAAGATCATAATTGAGAATCGTAGAGTAATTAAACTACCCCCTATACAAAAACAATTTTGAGGTGTTTCCTGTTAAAAATCAACAAGACAAAAAAAAAAGAAAAATCCACAGACCTCTATTCATATATTCTTGTATTTCCAGGCATAACTGGAAGCACATTCACATGTATTCACATTCACTGTTCCTTCACTAAATAAATCAGCTTTTATTTTGTAGTATTTTTTTTAGGTTCTCTTTTTTTTCATTAAACATGTTTTCATCTCTTCTGGTAAATAAACCTTTTCCAGCTATTTCACAGGGAGACAGAAAAAATATCAATTTCAGCCTGATGTCTGCCCTTATTTATATTTAGTCACAAACTAAGGTCTAACTTTGTACATATCAACTATATTTATTGAATAAGACAAACAGAGGCAGGGTAATTCAGTAGGTTACATTTAAACTGCATTTTTTTTATTTCATCTTGATTTACTGCTGTCCTTTTTCCACTTTCAGGGAAGATACTAGAGGCATACTGCACACACAGACACTTATTTTATGTTAAATAAGGTCATATTGGGGCTGCTCAGTGACGCAGTGGACAGGGTTGGGATAAGCATGACAGAAAATGGATGGATAGAAGGTACGGTAATATTGAGGAAAATTTTGGATTATTCAGTAAGCGATTAAACGGTATTTGGAGTATAGAGACTCAAAAAAAACCTGTCTTTAGCTGAAAGAAGAACCCACTTAGAGGAGTAAAAAAAACAAAATAAAAAATATATATATAGACATTTTGCATTTAAGATTTAAAAAAACATTTTTTTCTGTAAAAAAGCTCCATCTAGGACTCCTCAAGTGGAAAAGTTTGAGGTTCCCCTGGTTTTATTTAGTAAAAAATCTTCTTTAAGGAACCTGGCTATCCGATTATCAATTAATTAATCGAAAAAAATAATCGACAGATAATCGATTTGCAAATCAATTGTGAGTTGCAGCCCTAATCAAATCCCACTCATGCATTAACTGGTCTATGCCATATTAAATCTCCAAATTTTGCCAGATGAACAGTTTTGCATTCTTGTTTATTATGTTCTTGAAATCTCCATATGGCATCATTAATATCTAAAACTCTATTTTTAAACAATCCACACTTTAACGCTTCTTATTTCCTCCCCTTGCCATGATGGATCATGATTTTTGCGCTTCATTGATTAGGGCGTCTTATATGTTTGTGTTTACTCTGAAATTGACTGATTGATATAACTGATTGATATCACTTGATCTGAAACCAACTCCTGAATGGAGCAAAGCAGATTACATTGATTCAGAATAAAGGCTTTCTACTACTGAATAGGTTAATCCCACGTTCTGAAATTCTAGCGTGTTTTTGACTCATAGCTTTGCAGGTTTTTTGAAGCTCTGATCAAGAAACGATTAGAAAACAGCAGAGCTCCAGAAAGCACCAGGACTACCCTAAAGGTCCAAACAAAGCCTGAGTGTTTGCCAAGACTTGGTCAAACTGAGAACTGGACCAGGTTAGCAGGACAACCCCCCTGCTTAACTCAGAGGGAATCATCTCAGACCGGCAACAATCAATGCTTTTTATTCCCATCAAAGCTGTCAAGTAATCCTACTGGTTCAACATGTGAAAGACTCCCTGCAGGCTGCAGGTTAAACTGGTCTGACTGGTAGTGATGCTGCAGGTTGAACTGGTCGCACCTTCACAGCGCAGCGCCTTGCTTCCCTCTGTCTGCTTCCTGCAGACGCAGCAGAAATGTTTCTTCTGGCCAGCTGGACCAAAGCAGTGAGCAACGGGCACCTGTAGGGGGCAGCAGACAAAGATTTTAAACATTTAAGCAAATAAGGGAAACCACTGCTGATGGGCTGCCTGGTAAACACATAGACCGTAAGCTGAGTAAAACACCCTAATTAAACCATAAATTAACTGTTTACTCTCCACACCCAGAATCCATCACTACCAGCTCAGAAACATCAAGATGTCACTGAAGCAGATCTCATCAGACAGCATGAAGTAGGCTAAAATATCTCAACCAGCAGCACATCCGACCCCACGCTACAGAATCAAAAAACAACATCCCAATCATCAGTCAGGACAGCGTTTTAGATCCAATTCTAAGGCTTCGGACTTCTGTGAAATAGAATCAGAACCTGGAATAGAGAACCTTCTAAGGAGAAGTTAGCCTACCAAAATTACTCCAGGACCTCATCAATGGCACGTAAAGGTCAGAGGACATGACTCAACAATAAGAGGGATAGTTGGGGTGGGCACAAACAGACATGGGAGGGGTTTAAGACCAGAACCACTGCTGACCCCAAAAACACAAAGTCCTGAGCACGAAACATGTTGATGATCCTCAAGATTTCTAGGATGATATTCTGTGGACTGATGGAAACAGAGCGGACCACTCTGGAATCTCTGTGTCCGGTTACATCTAGGGTAAAACTAAGAGCATTTCTGAACCAGAAAATCAAACAGGCACCTTCTAGACCATCACTCTACCACCACCTTGTCTGACTGTAGCCTATGGCTACAGTCAGACATGGTGGTGGTAGAGTGATGGTCTGGGTTGCTTTGCTGCTTCAGAACCAGGAGGACTCTGCTCTCCAGCAGAAGGTTCCAAGTTCTAGTTCAGTTTGGTCCTGCTACAGAATGAAGGACCCAAAGTACAGTCTGAAGTTCACTGCAGAATGGCAAGAAATGAGAAAAAAAAAACACACCCACAAAGCTTTGAAGTGACCTAGTCAAAGTTTACCCTGGAAAACCTTGAAAGTGTCTGAATTAAATCAATTCAGATCAGTTTCCAGTTCCTCTACTGTAAAAGATTTGGTACCAGTTAACCGGCTGCAGCGGGATGAACAGCTCCTTATTGGGTTTGATGGGGGGGATCAGTATTGTATTGTTCCCTTGTAGGGTTGTCAAAAGTATCGATAAGTTATCGATCAAATCTTTAATATTAAAATCTAAAATTAATTTCTGCATGTAAAACCTCTCCGTGTCCCTGAGCTGATGTCTGTTTTTTCAAAGGTCCACATTTTTCTAGTCGTTTCAACGTATTTTTAGGATGTTTTGTAGGGTTGTCAAAAGTATCGATACTCAAAAAAGTATCGACACTGAAACGTTGTATCCGGATACAATACTCATTTTCAAAAGTATCGATACAGTGCTACTACCAGTGGCACCTAAACAGTCATTCATCTTATGCGCAAATTTGAGGAAAATGCACTTTCTGAACACTGTGTGAATAATTCTGTGCACTTTTCAGTTTCAGACTCTTTTTTTGTAATAAGAGGTGCAGCTGCTGAGAATTATTTTTGTTTCTTAACCGGTTTTGCTAGCGTCATTTTTATGTGTGCAAAGCATAGCCAAGGAAGGAACACTTAATTTTAATTTTGTACGTTTTTTATCAAGCTTGCTTAATATTGTGCACAGCAAAAAACCTCAAAATATTGTTTATTGTATTTATTTATCTATTTATTGTATTTTGTTTATTAATAAAAAAAATTCTGTTAAATTTTGGAGTCTTTGTTTTTATCCTTGTGGTATCGAAAATGACATCGAGTATCGAATATTTTACTTAGTATCAGTATCGAGTTGAAAAGTTTAGTATCGTGACAACCCTAATGTTTTGGTGTCAAAGTACAGAAATCTAGAGGAGGTTTACATTCTGATTCGACCCGCTGAGGGATTTTTCCTAAGAGAGAATCACTAGAAAGGCTTGTTAAGGCAGGTTGTATCCTGCTGGGTGAAGGGGACTAAATGGTTCTAAATGTTCTCAGTCTGCTGCCATGAGAAGAAACTTTGATTTTTATTTTGTTCCTGGACTAAAAAAACATCCAATGGAAACAAAAAACTAAACAATCTACATGCATCCCAGAATCCATTGGGGATTAGAGCCGAAGCTCTCTAGTAAGAAGGTCTAACATCCAATGTCCAACCCATCTAAGCTGGTCTGGCTGTCCAAAGAGTCCTTTTTCCAAATCATCTGGAACACAATAGGTTTTCATCTCTATAGTAGGAAAAACAAACAAAAAGTGGACCGGATCATGAAGGGGTCGACATGTTAAACGGTGGGAACCCTATTCTCCTGAATAAAGATGGAGCAACGCTCCTTGGAGCTCATTGAGCAACAATGTTTAGGGTTTGATGACCCTGTAGGATCAGCCTGCTTGTGACTCACCTGAACCTGAGAAGGACTCATGCTGGTGCAGACCACACGGAGCGTCTTCAGGCATTTCTCATGACACATGAAGTTACACACTGAGGAGGAGAGAGACACAGCAGGGTGAAGGTTCCTGCAACATGAGGTGCTTCAATTTGTAATCAAACATTTCTTCATTCAGAGTCTCTGAGTCCTCTGGCTCTGCGGTTGACTCAGGATGACACCTGCTAGTATTTAGAAAAGGGAAAGGAGATGTTTTGGAACGGCTGTTCATGCCTCGCTCCGACTCATCTCCTCTCTGCAGTCTCAGTCATTCAACATTTTTTTCCCCTCTAACTTTCTAACAGCTCGCAGCAATGTTTCCTGCTGATAAACATCTCACTGAAACTGAAAGCAACGCAGAAGGGGCCACTTTATAAAAAGTGAAATACAGCGACAGGCCAACTGAAACTGCATGTATGAGAAAACCGAACCGTTAAGGCGACAAAAAGCGCTCACAGATCCTAATCTAACCTCTGCAGGGAGTGAAGGCAGCGAAGTCCATCTGATGAGCACCACCCTCCGCTGTGCTCTGCAGGTCGTATCGGTTTAATCAGTAATCTGCTCTGAATTAATGAATTTGAATGTTTTCCTTAAAGATGGATGCAAATATTGGGACTATAATAAAAAAAAAAAGGGTTCTGGGTTCCAGGAACAATCACACACTATGAAGCCCCCTTTTACTCTAATACCAGTAAATAAAATCCAATAGAACAGAATGCATTTATATTAAAACCTACAGGAGTTCTGTTTCTGACCTCAGAGGTTCTTTGTAGAAGATCATAGACCAACATGCATCATGGAGACAAAGGAACCCAGCAGACGGATCAGGGAAGGTTTGGTTCAATTTGAAACGGTGCTAGGTTCTAAAAATAAATCCCAAACTTAGAACATCTCTGTCCAACCCATCATCTGAACATGGAAAGGATGGACCTGCTGACCTACCGAGGCATGGACGTCCACCTAGACGGACGGAAACAGCTCTGAGGCAGCTGCAGAGATCCACAGCTGACGTAAAACAATCGGATCAGGTGAGGACAAGCAACACTTCATCCCCTCTAGAAAGCATGACTGTGGCAGCACCATGCTGTGGGGATACTTTACTTCAACAGGGACAAGAGGGTCAGTGTTAATGTTTCCAATCATCAAAGCTGACCTTCTAAACCTAGGATGGAGCTGAAATCCAGCTTCATTCTGGAAAAAAACCTGATAGACCCACGATGGGGGTGAAAGTTGATCTTTCAGCAGGAGAACTACTCTGAGATGCCACTCAGATACACTAAAGGTGGTTTGGATCAGAGCGGATTCATCATTTGGAAGGGTCTAGTCAAAGTCCAGACCTAAATGAGTCTGTGTTTGATCTGAATATGTGAAGCTGGTCGACAAAGTCTCTCTCTCTGTCCATCAGCCTGTTAGGACTTGAGCTTCATGCCAGAGGTGAATGCTCCAAATTCCAGCCTGAGGTCAGAACCTGTCACTCTTTGAATACTTCATAATGCCAACAAACTCCACGATTAATCCCTGTTCAAATAGGTGGAGATGATCTACTTGGGCAGAACCAGAGGAAAGTTCTAATACAAATCTATTCTACCTGAATGATGTTTATACGCTGAACAAAAACTGGCCTGCTTTCCGCTTCTGTCCATCCTCTACTGTTTTATTTGGATCAGAACCCGAGGAGAACCACCCGCTGCATCACGGCGGCAGACGAAGCCCTTCAATGACATCGCAGCTCTCACTTAATCCAAGTTACAGCTTAAAGGAGAAACATTATGTAATCGTGCAGCCAGAGCCTTTCCAGGACACGGAGCTGCTTGGTGTGTTGTACAGCTTCTCACAAAGCTGATGGACACACACACACACACACACATCCATCCAAACCTCCTGTTGTCATGCCAACCAGAGCAAGTACATCACGACTTTATGGAGACAGTTTACACCTCCTGGAAAAAATAAACCCAATAAAGGAGCTGTGTTACTGGGCAGAGTGGAGAAGGTGTTTACATGCAGAGTGTAAGGAAATGATAAGGAAAATGAAAAAGAATATGCATAAGCTGAGAATGAGGGATGATGAAGGTAAAGGTTGGATGATGGAAGAGATGCAGATGTTGATGAGGTTGGGATCAGAGCTGCTGGAAAACCTAGAATCCCTTTTAACTGTTTACCCTCAGGGCTGTCTGCCAGGCTCTTTCCCACGCTAGAAGGATGTGGGCTCACCTTCGCATAGGAAGCCGATCAGCCCCCACACGAAGTCGCTGCAGCTGTGGCAGAAGGTCGGTTTGGTCAGGGTGACTTTCTTGAAGCAGTGGCCGGAGCTCTGGTACTTCTGCCTCGGCCCCGGAGGCTGATGCACCTTCTTCTTCACGGCGGCCGGACTCACCAGCCGGCCGTTGTCCGCATCGGGGTTCGCCGGACCGCTGGAGCGGTTCGACTCGGCCATGTCCGCAAACCAGCCCTCCTCTTTAAAACACGGACAACAAAAATGTGCGCAGTGAAGCCGGCTTATGAGGTAGAATGGTGGGAGTTTTAGGAAAATGAGCCCCAGGCTTCAGTCATCCCAGCGGGCTGGACACGTCAGTGCAGCCCGGGGAAGGGGCGCTGTGCTCGGGGAGGGTCTGGAGAGTTCGCCCCTCCTATGGAGCTAATTATCCAGGTTCCAAAAAAAAAAAAAAAATCATCCAAACATCATCAAGCTTCAAATGTTAACATAAATGAATTGCTTTTAAATGGAATCCGTGCTTTTCTTCCCCCGATTAGAAGCCATCTCCCCGGCTGGGGCCAGCGGCTCTCCGGGTGGAGGATCCCTCCGAACCGGTGGGCTAACGACCAGCCCCCCGACACACAGCACATAGAAGCCGACTGGAAACAGGAAGATTAGGATCCACAGTGGAATGAGTCTGTTTAGCAGCAGCCCCTCCGCCCGGAGACAGCGGTGCCACCCAGCGGCGCCGCCCGCCGCTCTCTGCCGCAGCTCCGCGTTCAGCAGGCGGCCTGAATAAAAGATGACAGATCGATCCAATAAAGCTGCAAACAGCGGGGGTCTGCGGAGCTATGGAGCCTGTGAGACGGTCTGCTCCCGCCTTGCAGCGGGAAGTCAGTCGTAGCAGAACCGGAAGAAACAGTGTAAGCCCCGGGGAGAAGGAGCAGGCAGGCCGCGGGAGGCGGAGGAGGTTCAACCGGTGGTCGCTCCGTCTGAGGAACAAGCTTCTTTCATTCGGCTTTTCTGCTTTTTTTAAAAGGCCGATTCTTCTTCCGCGTCCGAGTCACTAAACACTGATTTACTCCTCCTCCTTCTGCTTCATCATCATCATCATCATCATCATCATCATCATCTCCTCCTCCCTCAACTTCATCTCCTTTCCTCTCCTCCTTCCCTTCCTCCCTTATCTGCGCGTCATCAATGAGCTTCCTAACACTAAATATTTCCAATAGTTCTTTTTGACCTTTTTTTTTTTTTACCGATTTCTCTGCTCTTCTTCTGCAGTTCATTTATCATATAACTCAACATCACCACTGATGTGTGTATCTTCGCGTTTAAGATGAATGTGCTGGGTCTGTGCCAGCTACAAAAACCCCTGAGAAAGAAATAATTCCTGGTGTCTCCTTATAAAATGTTAACTGAAACATCATTATCATTTTCTTAAGCTGCCTCTATTATATAATGTAAATCCCTTTACTGTCCCACCAGGGGTGGAGCTAGATGGGGGGCCAGGGCCTTAGCCAATCTGTGGCCACCCCTACAATTTTTCCCTCTAATACAGATGGTGGCAGCAGTAGCACTCTCACGTGCAATATTCAAAACATTTTATTTTTTTTATATATTAGCAATTACTTGATAACAAAAACACTGTGGTTAATTATGCACATCAATATACTAACATTAAAGATGATGAGTACAGAATTCAAGCAGAAATAGATTTTGTGTTTTATGGGGTAAAGAGAAAATGCTGTCTCTGCAAGTCATCTGGGAGTCTTTCAGTGAAATCATAGATTAGTAACTATTTTCATAAAAATAGTCAATTTATGTAGATATTAGTAGGCCCTACTTGTAAATATAAATTTTATGCAGAATGATTGCTGATAAAATAATATAAGTAATGAAAATGAACAGAATTGTTTCCACTATACCTTTTATCTAGAAAGCACAGATTTATGAATATATTTGTCTATTTGTTAGCAAAGGCTGTGGGAAAGTATAGTTTGTCTTTATTTAGATAATATGGATGCTGTGCTCATTAATTTTCCTGTTGGGAAAATGTAGATTAATCGTGAGGTTTTGGTGCCTATCCGCTTTCGGCCAAACCTCAGTATACATTGGTTTTGCCTGGCCACCCTTATTAAAATTTCTGGCTAAGCCTCTGCCCAGAATGGGGAAATTCGTTCTCTGCATTTTGACCCATCTCAGCAGCGGGCTGCCATTGTTTGGCGCCCGGGAAGCATTCAGGGGTTAATGGTCTTGCTCATTAACTCAAAGCGAACTGGAACTTACAACCTTCTCAGAGCAAAAGCGCACTGCTCTAACCACTAGGCCAACACTCCTCCATTATATTGTGTCCTATTATATACTAGAAGGTGACTGTTAAATTTTTTCCCCCTCCCTTTTCTTTTCAAATTAGATAACTTTATATTATTTCTGTTATTAAAATGTGCTTTACAAATAAATCTGCTTTGCCTGGATGAAAAAAATATCTGCTTCAGGTGAAACGTTGGACCAAACCTTATTTACTGATACAAATGGGGCAAAGGGGCAAAACAAAAGGGATGCGGGGAACCATGCAAATGAAAAACAATGCAACAAGAATAGGATAATAGTGCTGCTTATAATACCAACAATGTGCAGAGTGATTGAGCCCGGTGCTGAATAAGGTTAAAATGTAAAACCTACAAAACCTTTTAGACCAGCCTCAGTATATTTCTAGATTTAGAGAAACATTTGGGCTTTGATTCCTCTGTAGGGGAGCCTTGCAACTGTTGCTCCACCACAGCTGAGGAGGTTTATATGATCTGATGTCCTTTGGGATGAGATGACAGTCTACAGATACAGATTCTGCCATGTTTGATAAAGGAGAATAGTTGATTTGGATGCCATCTAGTGGTTGAGCTGTTACCTGCAACCACTAAAAAAAAAAAAAACAAAAAAAAAAAAAAACATTCTGAAAACCCTATCTACCGGTATACATTTTAGGAGATCCTCAGGTATTAGAAAAAAAGAGACCAGGGCTTAGAAAAAAATTACAGGGTCTCAGATTTGATTGAAAATGCTGTGATGTCTTAGGAAAAAAAATGCCAGATTGTCTGCTCTGAGGAAAAGTTGTCAAATTGCCAGGTCTAAGGAAAAAAAAGTCTTTAGAAGGTTAGGTCTCTGGGGAAATAGGTATTTAGGTTGTCCTGTCTTAGAAAAGAGCTGTCAGGATTTAGGATGACAAACTATATGGGCTGAGGTTTCATTAAAATTAGGAGAGAAAAAAACAAAACACCTTAAATATTTATTTTGGGTCATAGAAAACATAAAATCCAAAATTTTAATGACAATTTTTGCCATCCTTTTCAGCAGTTGTTTTCTAAGTTGGACCAATATGCCTTGACCTGCAATGACTCATGGGAAATGAAGGGGTGTTTGGATGATTTGAGTGAGAATGTAGCTTCAGCACAGTTGGTAAAGATTTCACAGAATTTAAAAAAGAGCTTCACAGTTCCTGAGACCTAACACCTAATGGTTTTATTTCCAAGACCTGAGAACTTTTTTCTGAAGACCTGACTACTATCTTTTCTGAGCAGACCTGAAAATTTTTTTTCCCAGTAGCTGAAGACTTTTTTTTTTTTTTTAGATCTGACAACCTTTTCGCAACTGAAAATTATTTTCTTTAGACCTATCAACACTTTAACTGAGATGTCAATTTTTTTTTCCTTAGGCCTAAAAACTTTTTTTTTTCCTGAGACCTGACAATTAGTTTTTTTCTATGACCCAATAACTTATTTCCTAAGACCTGAGGATGTTCTGAAGTGTATCTGACACTGCAGCTAATCTTGGAATCCCAGTCTTATTGATCGAATGTTCATGGAACAGCCAGAAATTGCCCTCAACAAAAATTTTTCAATTAATTTTTTCCAAGAAATTACTCCAGAGTAATAAAGTATTCTGTAAGAAGGATGTTTAAGTACTGAGTTACAAAACATCCATTGATCTCGCTTTATTCCAACTGGGGTCGCCAGGGAACCTGGTGCCTATCTCCAGCTGTCAGTGGGCAAGAAGCGGGGTACACCCTGGACAGGCCACCATTCCATCACAGGGCAACACAGGGACAAACAACCATGCACACTCATAGCTAAGGAGGATTTACAGAAGCCAATTAACCTAACAGTCATGTTTTGGGACTGTTGGAGGAAGCCAGAGTACCCAGAGAGAACCCACGCATGCTCAGGGAGAACACACAAACTCCATGCAGAAAGACCCCGGGAATCAAACCCAGAACCTTCTTGCTGCAAGGCAGCAGTGCTACCCACTTTATCACTGAGCAACCCAACATCTAAATTTCATTTGTACAAACTGTGACAAAAAAGGAAATTGCATGCAAATGCTAGTATATTAAAGACTAAAATACACAAATATTTAAAAAAAAAACAATTACCAGAAGAAAAAAATTTCTAATGAATTTATTTTTTCAAGATAAATGTACAAAAATTAATACTTGCAGCAGTTGTCAAAAGTGTTTGTCTACTTTAACATGAACTTTGATGGTACCCTTGTCCTTATTTATAAAGCAACATTTGTTGATGGACCAACGCTACCAAGAAATGCAAAAAATAGTTAATTTTATCCCAGATGTAATCATGTTTGGTAGCCTTAGTGGCTCTGTTTTCTTATTGGTTTTGGTCCCTGTTGTCTAAAATTTGGGCCCTTACCTCAAAAATATCTCCTCTAATTTATTATGTGCCTCAAGACTTGATTTTGGAACAGCCTGATGTTCACCTTTTATGCTTCCACTAGGGTCATTGTATTATGGTATAGCCTTTCATTTCACTGATTTGCAGATGAGAGCAAGATTTCAAAAGTACTGTCCTCAAAAGTACTGTCAGATTAATTTCAGGCACTTATTTGAAAATATTCAGTAATGGATCATGAAAAACAATTTTATTTGTCAAAAACAAATCAAAAGTTATAATTCACAACTAAGCTATTTATAAAGATTTTGAAAGGCACCTGTTAAATCCTTGGTGTCTACTGTAATGCTCCCATTAAACTGGAGAACCATGGTCCATTCTATTTCAGTTCATCAATTCAATTCTAATTCAATTAGAAATACTTCATTATTCCCAAACGGAAAATAAACATTGCAGTAAGAACCCTTCACATTTGTTTGACAAGTTGCTGTATTTGTTTATAGCTGTAGGCAAGGAGGATTTTCTCTAGTGGTCTGTCTCGCACCAGATCTAGAGAATCCTTTGACTGATGACAGCAATCCTCTGAAGAGGAAGCTTACTGTTGTTCATAATGCTCCTCATTTTATGAAGAATTCTTCTTCATAAAATCATTTCCAGAGACCTTCCTAGAACAGCGACGGCTTGCTTTATCAACTTAAGATTTTCTAAGTAATTTGCTTTGATGTTGTCCAGGTGAACACCAAGGTATTTATACTCCTCTACCACCTCCACTTTTTCCATGATGTTAATAGGATTCAACTTGTTCCTCTTCTGAAATCTACAATAAGCTCCCTTGTTTTGTTGACATTCAGGATCTGATTATTTTTTCCACAACATGCCAGAAAGAGTTCCACCAGCTCCCTGCCCTGAGCTTCTTGTCCGTCTCTGATGCACCCAGGAAGTGCAGAGTCATTCAAGTATTTCTGCATATGAAAGGACTTTGTCTTTGTGCACACAGTAAAATTTGTAGGGAATAAAAAGGAATGGGGAGAATATCAACCTGTGAGGGACCAAGCCAGCCAAGCATGAGAATACAGCAGCGATTATCAAGAAAATTGGTTTTATTTCCCCAAAGTAACAAGAATTCAAAACAATAATGACAGAGCTTTTAAAGAGGTCAAATGGTGAGACTAACTTAAGGCAAATTTATCAAGGTTAAACCTAACAAAACCTTAAACTAACTGCACAAAGGAAGGAAGGAAGGAAGGAAGGAAGGAAGGAAGGAAGGAAGGAAGGAAGGAAGGAAGGAAGGAAGGACAGTTAGCTTAAGGATTAAACTTAGATAACTAATACTAAACCAAATTAGAGAAATGAGAAAATCACAAAAGAACGAAAAGATTATGAAGCATATTAAAATGTGAACTCCATGGTCTTCCCTCATGGTGGAACTGTGTGTGAGTATGCCAGCAGGAGTCCTTTGCATTCTCCCAGTTGAAGGTACTCTCCACAACACCAACAAAAGGAAGCACAAACAATATTAAGCATTTGACAAATTTAAATATACAAAAGTTAACCAAATGTGTTCATTACAGTTGGAACTAATGTCTTCCAATACTGTCAAAATAAAAATAAACAAACCAATATATTTATCCTACCGTGTGTTAAAACTTAAAGAGAAAAAGTAGTTGTGTGTGGAGTTACTGATCATGTGAACATCACACATCCCCTGTTGTGTTAAGGAAAAGCCATAACTTTGAGTTAACATATATGAGCCTTTTTTTTTAGCTGTTCTTTTCTTGCAGATAGGAGTACTAAAAGCTCTTTACCTTGGTCTCAACTGGGCCTCTGCCCCTCTTATCGAGTTGGTCAAAAATGCATCTTCTCTTCTACAAGCTGATACCAAACAGAAGGAGCATATAGGAGTGGTTCTACAGGTGAATCTTTGGCAGTTATTGGTCAAAAACGCAACACAGATACCATGAAGTCGGACTGTTATCTGGTTCTGTGTGAACTTTTTTCTTTCCTATTGTTACTGTTGGATGAGAATTAATCATGATTACCGGTCAAAATCATAGGCTGGCCTTTGACTTGAGAAGCCAACCTCTGATTTAGAAATAGAAAGGATTTTCTGTTGTTGTAGATCTGATTGATTTTAAGTTGGACATGGCTGCCTTTTTTGGAGGTGACCGCTAGAGGTCAGTGTAAGCATATAAAATTTGATACACTAGGCTAAACAATTAGATTTTCTTTTTTTTTTTTTACATGTAGATTAGAATAAATTTCCTTTTTTTTTTTTTTGGTTAAATCTTCCTCTCCAAGGACATATTATGTTCTCTGTCATTTTTCTTGATTTAATTTGAATTCAATAATACTTTATTAATCCCAAAGGGAAATTTAGTCACTTAATATCAATTTAAGGTAAATTAAATAAGATGAAAACTTGTAATATAAGACCTCTCTTAGAATGAGTGCTATAAAGGTTGCAATTGCAATGCTAAGTGCCACTTTGTAGTTTACTGTGCAGGACAGAGCCCGTATGTTAATCTAGAGGCAGCTCCAATCTAGGCTTAGGGATGTCTGAGATGAAGCAACACATACTGAGACAGGAATTGTGATTGCACGGTTAAGTATTATACATGTTTGAATGAGAAAATGAGCGTGTTGGTTGTGGTCTCTCTGGACCTCTAATGTTCCAATATGCACATTTCAATACCTCATCTTTAGAGAGGAAAGGAAAAAGGAAGAAAAAGAGTCTACCTATATCCCCCAACCACATTCTTAAAACACCCTCCCCATCTCCCTCTGCCTGCACTTAAGATAAAAGAGGAGATAAGGTCTTCCAGCATCTGAAGGGGAAGATAGCTCAAGGATCTGATGGTATCTTTCTTCTCTGCAGATTTCATGAACATTGAGAAGTTCCCTCCTGTTTCGATTCAAATTATTGTAGTTGAAAAATACTTTATTGATCTCAAAGGCAAATACTCCACCATCACACTGATCCACTTCATCTGAAAATATATCTCAGCCACCCTGCTGGATGTGGTGCCATATGCAAGGATCCTTCAGAAGCTTCCCCAGTTCAGCTTTATTCTATGCGTGCATGTAGCAAAGAAGGAAAGGGGGTAGTGGCTAAAGGAAGCGAGGTAGGAGGGAGAAATGGGTTTACCGCCGTTAGTATTATGTCCAGGAGCAAATGGATAAAAATCGACCTGAAGAAATGGAAAAAAAAAACATGAATCGATACTTATACAGATGTGTCGATGCAGCGGATCATCGGCTGTTGGATCGATGCATCGATACAAAACGATTATTATTTACACCCCTAACACCGTAACAAGACACCTATGCATCAATTTTGAACACACTTAATCCCAAGTGGGGTCCAGATGGGTGCTGGTGCCTATTTCCAGCTGTCTAAGGGTGAGAGGCGGGGTACACCCTGGACAGGTCGCCAGTCCATCGCAGGGAAACACAGAGACAAACAGGACAAACAACCATTCACACACACACTCACACCTAAGGAGAATTTAGAGAAGCCAATTAACAGTCATGTTTTTGGACTGTGGGAGGAAGCTGGAGTACCCGGAGAGAACCCACGCATGCTCAGGGAGAACATGTAGAACAACAAACTCCATGCAGAAAGACGCCGGACTGGGAATTGAACCCAGAACATTCTTGCTGCAAAGCAGCACTGAGCAGCCCCACAATTAATAAAAAAAATAAATAAATAAAATAAAATTCCTTTATGGATTTTGGAGGTCATTCTTCCCTAATGTAGAGGCCCTTTTCAATCTGGCCCCTGCTACTATATAGGCAGTCTCTGTGAGGTCAGCAGGCCTCCTCAGCATAAAGGTTTGGTTGTTGTTGTGTCTCACCGCTAGTTTCTTAAAGTCACCACATGGGGGCGCTGCAGATCAGTCGCGCAGGCTGTTTAATTTATAACAAACCAAACGTCCACATCTTTGTTAGTCTTTGTTCCTCTTGTAAACTGCTCAGTGTTAGCGGGCTGTCCGCGTGCTTTAAGTGAACTGATGGTGTTTATTTAACCCCCCCTCTCCTCTCCTCCCCCCTCCACCCCCCCATGTCTCCTCCCTCCCAGCTCATATCTCAGCTCCGGGCCCTCCCATCCTCTCCAGTCTCCCGCTGCCGCTCTCAGAGCGACATCTCCGGCTGCTGCCCGCTGCTTGTGTCCGGTCATCCCTGCCGTCCCTCCCCCTCTCGGTGCGGACATGCTCCCGGGGCTCCGGAGATGAGGCTCCGCAATGTCTCATTCCTGACGGTCTTGTTGTTCGGGCTGAGTGGGCTGGTCTCCCTGTCCTGGTACACCGCCTTCAGCAGCTCCAGAGGTAAGCCCACATTCCGGTGTGTTCCTGCTGGAAGGTGGCTGTGATGGAGGGATGCTGGGGGACATCAAGGTGCATGATGCACGCATGATGGTGCTGATGTGAGGCTGCAGGCTTCAGTGAAACAGAATGGGCGTTTGGTTTGTGATGCATAGGGAGAATTATTCCAGGTGGTGCTGATGTGAAACATCAGTTTATGAAGAAACCAGAAAGGAAGATGCAGAGTGGAGATTTTTTTTAGTTGTAGCTGCAGTTTGATGCTCCAGGGAGTTTAATCCTGCTGATGCTGTAAATGCTGCTTCCATCTGATCACAGTGTCCCCTTTCTGCCTGAGTAGATCATGAAGGAGCTTCAGAAGCTGCTTCCAACATGGAGAGAAAGATGATAATTGCTACTACATTTCAGGCTCTGTTGAGTTGCATATACTTCCAACATAGAGAAGTTAGGATGGAGGTGGAAGAAGAGCTGTTTGGATTTCATGCATCTCCATCCCGAGTCTCAGATGATGATCTTTGAGGTGATGAGGGGATTAATGAGGGCCAAGATGGAGGCCACCTTTGAATTGTGAGGGGAAATTTAGCTGTTTTAAGATCTGTAACGCTTCAGATGAAAGGAAGATGAGGTGGGATTTCTTAGATTGTTCTGAGATGCACTTTGATCCGGATTTTTCCAGAAAATTGTCCAGAACAATGTCCTAGTCAAATATACTTTGACTAGGACATTGCTCTGGACATCCATTCTAAACCTCCATCCTTTTTCTATTGCCTAAAGTTTTTCTGGACCTTTTCTGTTTTCCATTGCAGAAAATACACTCAGATTAGATTGGATATCTGCGATAAATGGTGTTTGCAAACTGAGCATTCAAATCTGTTCTATTCTGACACAGCATAAGAGTCACTCCACACGCTGTGGGAGTGGGTAAGTGATAGCCTTAAAGTGGGAAACAGAGCCTCAGTGCAGCTCTCTGAGTTTTCTATTCAGCTTGCATGACAGGAACCATTTCTGAAAGCTTTATTCATTAAAATCTGATCTGTTAATGTCACATATGATTCACAGTCTGGTGTTATTTGACTTGTTCTAATGTGTCAAGGCTATAAAAGAATGATAGATACATTTTTCTTGGCAGTAAAACTCCACTTCTTAACACGTAAAGGAACCTTTTTTTCCTGACCTGGAGGGAAACACGTGAGAAAAACAAATACGTTTCTAAATTTGAACAAAACCTTGGAATGATATTTTTTATTTTGAGTGGAGTTGCTGTGAAACGATATCAGCTCGACATTTCAGGGCCGTTTGCACTCATAAGCAGACCTCCGTCCTCTTGCTGTTGGGACAGATGCAGACAGAACCACATTTCCTCTAACCTGGGAGTGATTTAACCAGGGCCATATAGTGCATCCGCTGTAAAATAGTCAGCAGTTTTGTGCTATTGCTGTAAAGGACCGTTTAATTGCTGACTTTTCTCTGACCTTTAGCTGAATGTGTGCTAATTGTGCCAAATCTGTTCCAGTTCCACATTTCCTCAATGCTTTGGGTCATTTTGGGGGACTTTTCGTTTCTGACTGGAACTGTTGTGATGCAGGCTAAGAATAAAGTGCTTATTGCCGCGTGATCCGTCCCCTCAGATGTTCGGTGCTGCAGTGGATGGACTGGTTTTATTACTGCTGTATGAAGCAGAAGAACTTCTGCTATGCCAGGTTTAGAGAGAAGATGCTACCTTACGAGCACCCATACTTTCAGGGTCGTGACCTTTAATATTTAACCTCCTGGAGAAGCTGCATCACAGATCTCAAAAAGAAACATTAGACTGTCTAATAAACACCATAAATAGCACAGAAAGAAAAACAGTTTAACTTGTAGAAGTCTAAAGAACCCCAACTTAACTCCACATAAGCGTCTTATTCAAAATGATAAACAAGAGGCCCCCAGGGGCCTCCTGTATTCCATCTCTTTCTTTAATATTAATGAGGCTGAAAGATGGAGGGATGACTGAGACTACATGATTGTTGTCAGATATGAATGCTTACAGAGAGAGGTCCTGTACCTCCTCCAGTTGCCAGGAACTGTTATTTAGGGTTCAGAACATATCAGCATCACGTCATCTGCTCGCCTCATGGTTACCAGACAGAAATGCTTTCACCTCCGAACTGTAGAACTGAGATCTGGATTATATTGTCGAATGTAAACCAGCTGGATGCATTGTAGCAAAGAACCGGTTCTCTTCGAGTTCTGCAGATCTACATGATGTCTGTAGTGCTGGAATTGTTTTCTGGGTGTTTCCACTGCTGTGAAGAGTTCAACTTCCAGCTGTGGAAGTGTTTGGCTGCACATTTTTTTAGGGTGGGTGCCGCTGCTGTGGAACAGATGACGACGGGAAGAAAAAAGGGACGTTTGGTTTGTGACACTTGCCCTGCAGGCTGATGGGGGTGGTGCAGCTGTTTTTAGGGGGTCGTTCTCCTGGTTCTAAACCTGCAGCTGAGAACTTTCACAGAGGAGATGAACCTGCTTGTGGCTCTCACCCTCTCAGGGGTTTGCTGAGAAACTCAACTCAGACTCATGCAGTTGGTAATCATCTATTGATGGTATCAGCTCCGTAGTTTCCTGTACGGAGTCCACAGAGACGCCAGCTGCATCAAAAGGCAAATCAAGCTGCTTTTCTGATGTAATGGTGCATTTCAGGAACATTTTCCACTATGTGAGAAAAGTTTTCTCACTGCTGCTGCCATTTTCACTCCAGGTACTTCAAACTAATACTTCCTTTTTGTTCATAACTTCCTCTTTTCTTTGAAGTTTTGAGACGCTGCGGCTTCGTGTGCAGTCGAGTTGAAAGGCAGGCCTCCGATCCAAAATTAAACTTTGAAACATGTAGCTCTTGGGTTAATAAATGCTCTTCATTTCTCTTCTGCAAGCATAAAAACACCCGCCAGCCATTCATGTGAAAGAGGCCTTTATATTGATCACCATGTGATCATTTTTAACTCCTGATCAAAGTCCAAACTGGCCAAACTCACAGCGCTGCAAGATGAAAGCTCTTTAACAAGATAACGAGTGTGTACTCTTTTTCTAATCTTATACCCAGAAGGAACAGAAAACTGTGTCTAAAACCTGAGAACATTCAGAAGGTCGACATGATGAAGGAATGATAAAACAAACGTCCACAAGTGATGAGAGAAAAATTGCATCCAATGTTTAGCTGGTCTGTGTTCGGTTGTTCTGTGTTTGGTTCCAAAGTAAAACGTGATCCTTCTTCCTGCAGAGATGCTGCTTTCTGCAAAAAAACTAAACAGATTCAAACGCAACAGTTCGCTCTGGCAGTCTACGGAAGCCCTGAGGGGGAATTGAAAAGGTTTATTTAAGGACCCTTTTAATCATTCTGACCAAAAATTATCATTTTTTTTAAAGATAAAAGAACAGCTTGTTAATAATCTTTGAATTAAATATTAATCAGAGTAAGAAAAATAGATTTAAATATAATTAAGTTTTTTTCCTTTTTCATCTTAGTTTTAGAAAAGGTTTTTTATACTCAGTAAAATTTATTACGGTAGCTTTTTGTCTTGGTGCCTAAGAGAAAAAATTAGAAAGATTAGTTTTTATATAAAAGCACCAAAAGGAGCACCTCAGGGCTTCTTTCATCTTTATAAAATTAGCTTTTTTTTACCTGCTAAAGTTCTAAGATGAGTTAAAAAAATGTTTTAAATGTAAAGAACAGCTTCCTGACTTCAGCTGAACTTTAAATTGATGGATTTATTTTAGGGCTAATCATCAAACTTACACTTACACTTATCTTGCTGTTCTGCTCTGAAGATGTTAACTTATTTTTTTAATTTTTTTGTTAAATGTTTTATTTTCAACATAATTAATCATCCTCATATAAATATAATTACAATAGAATACAATAGAATATTCTGTATTTTGGACTTTTTGTTCCATTTTAAAGATTCCTTAATTTACTCAGAATTTTCTTCCTGGTTTCTAGTCCTCTGTGATAAGTGATCATTTAAGGCACTCTCCCTGTCACAGCTTTATATTACTGTGTCCCATAACCACTGCCTGCTGCAGTCACTAAGTCATTGGGTTCATCATTTTCCAAGAGTTTATGCAGTTTTTATGTAGAAATTGTGCTATTATATAAATTTACCAACCACTTGATAGAACACTGAATATTAGACATTCTACATACGAATTCTGAATTTTTCAAAAACACCTATCAACTTGGCTAACCTGGTAGATAAAATTTGAAGAATATTTTAGGTTAAAATCCAGTTTATTAGGTTATAATCTATCTATGTCGTAAAAAGGATTATGTTCCCTAATCACATGTGGTGTTCCTCAGGGCTCTATTCTCAGATCACGTTGACTGTTGATACATTTGATTAAAATATAGATACATTTTGTTAATAAAGCTCACCTTATGTAATTAATCTTAGGTCTCAGTGTGTCCTTAATGGGAAGGTGTCTATTATTGGTCTCTGAGTTTGTTGAAAGTGACCGGTTGATGTGAAATTACCCAAAGCTTTTGCTACTCAGAGACCCTGAAATGACTCACAGCCCCTTTTATCTGCTGAGCTTCAGGAATATAAAACTGAGGCGTTGAAAGAAAAGGAGCATCAGGTCAGACTGCAGGTATCCTGCAGAGAGATCTCTAACAGCCTGAGCTAAACGTTTCCCTTCAGTGAGAAACCATGGGCTGTCGTCGCTGTGGATCTTCAGGACGCCTCTGCTCTGATATTGACTTCTGCTCCCTGAATATGCAGCTGTGTTGTTTTTCCTTTGAACCAATGACTCCGTCAGTCAGATGTGTTCAGACCTGCTCAGCTTGAACTTCTTTGATCTGTTTGCTGCAGCTCAGCTTTCAGTTTTCTTACAAACTGGAGCTTCAGAGTCCAGCTGGCAGTAAACACTTTTTCTGTTTTTTTCTTTATTTTTTTTCTTGCATGAAACAGTGAAAAATACAAGAATAGAAAAGCTAAGAAGAAAAATCTGATGTCATTTTGCTGTTTGTT